CCCAGCTTCTCCCAGAATCGCCACTCCATATGTTTTTTACAATTCTAACTCCATATTTTTTTACAATCCTATCTAGTTAAGGTCTAATTAGCTAGGATTGTAAAAAACATATGGAGTGGCGATTCTGGGAGAAACTGGGGAGGGGGGCGATTTTGCTAGAATCGCCCAAAAGAACTGGCCCGAAGGCTGCTATGTGTCCATACTCTCCATACGATGTATATCCCCCCTTCATTCTTCATCACCAGTGCACTTAAAATCAAGAAAGGGCATATTCACACAAAAAGGGAAAACATAATTTGAAATTCTGAAAAAGAATACAAAAGAAAATTTGCATGCACATATAGACTATAGTTTTTTTTTGTGAATACACATATAGCCTATAGTTAGCCGTGCTTTGTGACGAGTGATATATATTTTAATAGATTTGCCCATGACTTTGGTTGCCCTTTTTAGTTTGATTGTGTAAAAAAACATTAGTACATTTTGTCATATCCACAGAAAAGGGAACAATGTGATTGAAAAATGGATATATACATACAATGTACTATCGATTCACTCATTTGTACTTTCCTTGTAGCTTACGAGTTCACGGATTTAAATAAAAGAAATATTTATATCTACAACCGATTTGTATGCATGTGGAATATTTTTCCAAAGTTTCTGGAACATCTAAATTCAAAATTCATATTTAAAAATTTAAAGCATGGCGTTCCATGGAGCAACCGGGTCCCAAAATGCCGCCCTCCTAGGACATGTCACTCTCCCCACAGTTTTTTTTCATTCTTGGTTTTTTGGAGCAATTTACACTTTTTGCGTGGTACTCCAACATGCTTTAATAAAAGTAAATTATATATGTGGTGGGAAAATTATATTGTTGCCCTTCTTAATTAACTGTACTAATGTTTTCCCTCCTATAGAACAATTAATTGTACTAATGTTTTCCCTCATAGAACAACTCATTAATTTGTACTAGTAGAAAAGCTTTGGCCATTGTTGAGGAAATCATTAACTGGTAGCTACTCGGTCGGCTGGTGAGTAGGGGATTAATAGGCTAATTGGCAAGTTAATCTGTCATTTAATCAATTAATCGGACGATTTATCGGGTAATCGGCTACTCGGGAACCCTATGAGTAGGGATTAATCGGCAAGTTAACTGGTAAATCGGATGAATTCTTGAACAGGGGCTTTGGCAGAAAAGAATCAGAAAAAAAAGGAAAAAACCATAAAGAAACAAAGAAACCTGAAAGAAAAATCAAAAGAAAAATAAACCTACAGCGAGGAAAGAGCCGAAGAACAACCAAACAAATGTTATTGGGCCGGCTCATTTGCGCGGATGTTGAGCCACCAATTGCTCTCGCCTAGCAGCTCTGCCCGCAAGATCCATCTGAATCAGCTGGCAAGAAGGCTGCTATGTGTCCATACTCTCCATACGATGTATATCCCCCATTCATTCTTCATCACCAGTGCACTTAAAATCAACAAAGGGCATATTCGCACAAAAAGGGAAAACATAATTTGAAATACTGAAAAAGGATACAAAAGAAAATTTGCATGCACATATAGACTATAGTTTTTTTTTGTGAATACACATATAGCCTATAGTTGGTCGTGCTTTGTGACGAGTGGTATATATTTTAGTAGGTTAGCCCGTGATTTTGGCTGCCCTTTTTAGTTTGCTTGTGTAAAAAAACATTAGTACATTTTGTCGTATCCACAGAAAAGGGAACAATGTGGTTGAAAAATGGATATATACATACTATGTATTATCAATTCACTCATTTGTACTTTCCTTGTAGCTTACGAGTTCACGGATTTAAATAAAAGAAATATATATATCTACAACAGATTTGTATGCATGTGGAATATTTTTCCAAAGTTTCTGGAACATCTAAATTCAAAATTCATATTTAAAAATTTAAAGCATGGCGTTTCATGGAGCTGTTGGAAATATGCCCTAGAGGCAATAATAAATTGGTTATTATTATATTTCCTTATTCATGATAATCGTTTATTATCCATGCTAGAATTGTATTGATAGGAAACTCAGATACATGTGTGGATACATAGACAACACCATGTCCCTAGTAAGCCTCTAGTTGACTAGCTCGTTGATCAATAGATGGTTACGATTTCCTGACCATGGACATTGGATGTCATTGATAATGGGATCACATCATTAGGAGAATGATGTGATGGACAAGACCCAATCCTAAGCCTAGCACAAGATCATGTAGTTCGTATGCTAAAGCTTTTCTAATGTCAAGTATCATTTCCTTAGACGATG